ACGGCGCACGACAGTGAACGGAAAGGTGGAAATTCCCACAAAGTGACGGAGAGCGTGCAAGTGTAGCGCAGCCAATCGAAGGACGCGCGCGTTGGTTTGGAACCAGGGTTTTCGTTCAACTCCCTTAGGTGAACTATTAATGATCCACCAACCCGGTTATAACCCCGGATGTTGGCTTTTCTTACTCTCTCCGATATGAGAAGGATGTGAGTAGAGCTTCCTCAGCGGAGGCCATTCGAGACGCTTGGTTGTATAGGAGCTTTTCGCGATGTGTAAGGGAATGGTGACCAGTCACAATCCCAGACACCTACCCCAACCATATTGGGGTTTTCGGGGGCTCTCCTATGTAGTCTTGGATCGGCCGCACTTCTCTTCCTGAAAATTGAATGCGTTGTTGGATATACTGGGGAAAGTATCATTAGTGAACAAGCTTTGCTTGCATTGATTCATTCACACGGATAAACTACCAATCGTATCCAAATGTTTCAGTAAGAAAAAAATTCATGGCAGAACGGGTTATTTTTCCTCCCAAAAGTGGTGATGTTTCTGCCAGTGGATGAATCACCGTCCACTACTATTTTTTTTCTTCCTTACAATTTGTAATACTGTTCTCGATTTGAAAAGTTGGATATTCAACGCGTGAAAGAAAGGAAGGAAAAACACTCTTCAAAGGAGATCCAGTTTTCAATGATGATGGTATTAAAAACGCTTATCAACAGAAATAAATAGTGCATGTGAGGACGAGGACCTGGTTCGCTCACTGACATGAGTGACAAGCCCGGCCGTCTTCTAGAAATTGTGGTCGAGTGATCCATATACCACTCCACGCATCTCGGCTGATTTATCCTATTCCGTTTTGAACTCAAATTGCCATTTAACACGCAGCTACTTGTAAGTAGTGCTATAATAGAAAGGATTATTCCACGTAGCTCATGATTACTCATGATTAATTATGATGTAAATGAGAAACAAAAATAAAAATAAGGTCAACGGGTTTAGATCGCATGGTATAACCAAACCTGAAAGAAAGACGTAATTTAGTGTCAGTGTAATGATTGTAATAGTAGTAGTAGTACGCACGGAATTCGGAATGCAAACCACGCAATAGGAATCACAGGACACGAATTAATAATCAGTTATCACGGACTGGATCACAGAAGCACTGGATCGCAATGTTCCACGAGAACGAGACGCGAGGAAAAGGCTACAGAAATGGTAGCAGGCAGTAGCTCCTTTATTGAAAGAAATGAAGGTGATTAAATAATATAGGTATTGACCAAACTCGTGCAACATCCTGATTTTCATCACATTTGTTCCTCTTAATGCGTTGTTTTTCCAGCCTCATTTACGGCATTGAATGTGATATTTCCCCACATCAGACGCAACATATCTGATATAATACCCACTTCTGTCACTGCTTCTGTTAGCCATATTCCAGTAAAGTGTACAATTTCGCGATTTTGACGACGGTTGCTGGAGCATCAGTTGTGAGGTAACAAAGTCACAGTAGAGAATGTAACTTTAATTCAATTATTAGAACGACTCATGGACTTTATACAGGTAATGTGCTTTCATCTCGTTCATGTTCCATTTGCCCTCCTTCGTTCATAAATAAATTATGTACAAAGGGACATTATTGGGTTTCCACCAATGGGATTGCAGTACTGCTTGCATAATCTTGCTTGAGCAGAGTAAGGGACGATTTGCTGTTTCACATGAGGACAGGTGTAGTTCACGCAGTTTTTCAGATAGTTTATCAACGTTTATATTAGACACATGACTGATAATCAACAAACCGCGACAAAGAAGAAATTTGAATTATTTTCGAATTAGTCCAGAAAAAACCACCGGGAACAAGGAAAAGGAATAGGGAGAACACACGGATAAACAAAAAACGAAATGATTTTTTTCTGTTTGACGTTGCAACGCCTAATGCCCGAAGTTGAAAAGATAATCAACGAATTTTCTGTACAGAGTTGCGAATGTGGGATGTAAACTTTAAGTTTGCGTGAATTCAAACTCAAAAATACTTCACGAAATCTATTCCAGTTAGGGGATCTGTGTTTATGACCGAGGGGTTATGGGGATAAATAGATTGAGAGAGAGAGAGAATGGAAGTGCATTCGAGGCACCTGGATAAATTAAGAGACATTTCAGAACTAATGGAAAATTCGAGGATATGCAATAGATTTTTCGATAAATTTAGAAGATCCTCAGACACAGAACTGGCTTATCTAAGAGTTAAGTCGACATTCTATTTAAAATCATTGGGCTGGAGGACTCGTTGAGAAATCACTGATGTCGGTATAAAACAAGAACGGAAAAAGTACCGCGCATTGGAGCACTGTCGAATCGTTCACTAGCGGTTTGGATGTTTTCGCACCCGTCCGAGTATGCTGAATTCTGTTTGTGAAGTAGTTAACCGGCCATGCCAGCAGGTGTTTGGGACAGCCAAATGATCCCATTTTACGAAGCAGGAGGAAACGTGGAACAGGGTCAAACACCGATGAAAAATCTAAGAAAACACAACTTATAGATTTCGCTGATGCGTCTAAAGACTTAGTCACGTGATGAAAGAGGGAGGCAGCAACAGTCAAAGTGGACCTGTTTGATTTATACACAAACTGGAAAGGGTCTTCAGGGGTACTGAAGGAAACAGAAAGGCCTTTGAGAATGGCACGTTCTGTCAATTTAAGACCGCATAACGTCAGAGCAATGGAACGGAAACGTTTGGACAGGGTGCTGGATCTGGAATGGGAATGATCGTGACTGGTCTCCAGCAATCGGGAATAGAATACGAACTAAGTGACCTGTTGAGGATGGAAGTATAAGCATCCAGTTTGACCAATGATTTTTCTGTTAGCATATTATTTAATGCCATTGATTTCCCTCAATAAATGAACCACTAATTCTGTGGGCCTTTTTCCTGCGTCTTGGTGACGGGAGATTCCAGTGTACACTTTTTAGTGTGATTCTTTGCTGCCGTTGCGACTGTGATTGGTGATCCGTAATCCGTACTTACTTTGACTATAGCAACAACAAGCTTACAGAAGAGCCAGTCTGTGGCTGAAACAGAGTAACTTATTTTAACACAATCGGGTGCTTCCACTTTGCAACTGGTTACATCACAAAATGCATTTTAAAGGGCACTAAATCAATATTAGGTGGAGTGTTGTATCCGGTATGAGTCAGTAAGTATGCAAGTAGTGAATTAAGTAGTAATTATATTTCCAGTATGTAAACGCAAACGTAGCCGGTCCGTAAGCCGGTGAGCAAGCAGTGCGTCAACACGCAGACAGGCAGGCACAGAACTGGCGCAAGTCTTACCAAAAGGAGTGTCGTCACGCTAGGCAGTCAACGAACCAATCAATGAGGAGAGATCAATACTGACTTCTGATTCGCTGAGGTGGATCGACCTTGTAACAGGGTAAGTCCGCATGACGTGAGTCCGTGCGTGTGGTGGCAGGCCGCAACGGTCAAACACGTGATGCGCGGTAAACGTTTCACTCGACCGCAGGCCACAACGTGGAGGTAGTCTCAGGGATAAGTGTTAGGGTTTCTGGTTTGTTGGTACCTCGTAACCCCAGCACATATTGTTATCTTTCGGAAAATTTGCATATTACACTGTTGGAAGCAAATGAAGCTCGTCGACAGTACACATATTTGAAAGTTCCATTCGCATAGATCGCAAACTGTTCTGCGGAAACTGAAGTGAACTGAACCGTACTTATCAGTTTGAAATCAGTCTAAAACTTCTGATATATTTATCACTTTTTCAAAGATTCTGGACTCACCCCAAATCTTTCAAAATAATGGGAAAGCATTTTGCGCGCCTCTCATAACTATGTCCTTCGACTAGTTGCGCTGATTCACTTTTCAGAGTTTGAAAATATATAATACCTCGGTCTAATTCCTCAGAGCAGTCGTCTGTAGACCATATGTAAGAAGAATCAGTTTGTCACGGGTCAAACAGCAGTACGTATTCCGATTATAATATATTGTTCCCGCGTAGTACAAGGATGGCTGCTTTTCGAGAAAATCTTTCTATTTAATTGGGCTCTCATTATGTCTCAATGTGTATATTCACTTCTCATTGTCACGTGATCACTGGGTTAAGTATACCTGATGATCGTATTTAGTTAGATCGATCGATAGTAGTGTTCAAAACTGAGACGAGTGCAGGATTGATATTGGCTGAAGATTGCCAGCTGATGTGATCAAACTCATGCCCGGTCGAGTAGCTTTGTTACAATTAATGTCTGGAAGAGTTAGTCTCGAACCGTATCACAACTCTGTGTGTAATCCAGATGTTGCACCCAACCTGGACTGTGATAGGTTCCGTTCGGCTACAATGGATCGTCATCTACAGCGTTCTATTAGTGCTGTAAACAGAGGGACATTCCGATTGAGTAAACTGCGAAAAAATATTCACGAAGAGCAACTACCAAATGATGCCCCAGAGCGTATATCATCCCCGATAAAATGTGAAACAGTGGATGCTCCTTGGTCCGGAAAAGAAGATATTCGTCCACCGTCCTATAATACAGCAATCACCGATCCAGATCGGAATAAGACAAATGAGTTATTCTGGAGTCCTCCTGAAATCATCAGCTCCAGGGGACGTCTGTTGCTCAGGACCAGGCCCGGAAATTGGAATCCGAAATCGACCGGAGAATACTTTACAGATTTCAGACGGTACGAAAATAGTCGTCTGAACAATCAGTTGTATTTGCAACCACGACGTTCCCGGTCGGAATTTGACCCAGACAGAGTAGGATTAAAACCCGTGCTGAGTAGAGTTGCACTGAATGAGGAGCTGGATATGAATTCTGTTATACACAAGTGGCGCTTTTCACGTCTGTTTGCACCCACCTCTCGGATCTCGGTTCGACGTCCACATTCTGTGCTGAACAGAGTGCGTAAAATTCAACGCCCGGTTGATCTCTGTTTGCGACGAAGTCGTCTAGCTCAGCTACATCGTGTTCTTTAGATGCCGAATCGGAATGCAGTGATTTAGATGGTCTACATTTCTCACATTTTGCTTTGACTTGACAAGCTTCACATTATGTTCAATCCCTGTTCCAATTTCAGTTTTCCACGTACCCCTCGGTTTGATTTTCAGCCAATCTCCATCATCTAATCCCCGCTCATCAGTGTGTGTGTATGTGTGCGTGCGTGCGTGACTGTGACGGATGGGTTTTACACATTACAGCCATCATATCATCGATGGAGAACTTTTCCTCGTTACGATTATTTTGTTTTAGTCAGTTGAATTGCTTTGCATAATGGCACCGGGAAGTCCAAAGTGGAAAGATATACGTTTGTTTCTCTACATGAGTTTTCAATCGCCTAGCAAACAAAACGTGATGTGGGCACAACTCTTGACAGAGTGAAGTGCAAATGACCTGCTACACAAACAAAAGACATCGGCAATTCTGTTTTCGAATGACCTGCAGCGCTCCATGTGTGATTACAATAGTGCCATGACTTTCTTGTGCCAAGAGTTGACCATCCGTCAACAGGTTAAGGGTATATTGTGCTGAGTTGTGCTGAGCTACGGGTACGCATGCCAACGGATTGGGATGCGTAATTGCCCAGGTAGGTAATGGTTCAAAGGAGATTATGGGTTTTTAGTCCTCAAAGTAAACTAATCTTAACTAGGAGACATGAAGATGTAAATCACACCGGAATCATCGACTGAGGACCTCGGGATCAGGCCAGTGATTGGTTATACACAGTGGTTGTGATTTTAAATCCCTTAAATCGGTTATTTTGCCGCTGGTTATGATAAATAACGACAATTTGGGCGCTTATTGCCTATCTACGCATATCTAGATTACCCGCAATCTGAATCTTTAGCATGGTCCTTTTCAGAGGAAATCTCTAGCAGTTTGCATTTGAAATGGATTGGAATCATCAACCACCGTGAGAGCATCTCGGCGTTTTCTTGACATTCTAGTGTGTGTTATCATACGTTCGTTTCCTCGACACTCTGGTAACCCCGATTCCGGAAAAATGACCAGACTTTGATCAATCCCGTACGCTCCTCCCTTATTGAATCCACATTTGACTGGCAGAAATAATATGGACTTGCAGTGTTTGCAACTGCCTTTTAACCGGGATCGTTGGGATACGCATTGTGGAATCAGGTTCGGTGATAGCCTTGGTAAGACACAACAATACTGCTTTCGATTTTATTCATTTCTCTATTGATTAGATTGGTAGTCGAAAAACAGAAAGTAAAATGAGCATAGAGGTGAAAGTGTGATGATTGTAGTAGCTAAATGATTGACTGACTGATCGACTGGCATGGTGTCCACTAAACAAACAGTGGCCGGTCCTCAGCAGGCATGTTTAAGCATAAGGTGTGTTCACCACTTGGCTAGCATCTGTCGAACGCACTGAAACCGGGGCTCATGCTCCACCTATCAGTCATGACAGTCTGGAACAGTAAATCAACTTCAAGCTGTGTAGTAACCCCGCTGCATGTGAGGCTGCCTTTGTTTGTGCGAATGCTAATTGTGCAACCTCGGACGAAAAGACAAGACGACGTGCCTTTAGAACACCTAACGTGTAACCCAGTGGGGAAACAGCATCAAACGACTCTCAAGACACTGTTTTGTATCGGGTTCTCATTATTAAGCACGGATATTAGCTAAACTGTATTTTGTCGCCAAACTGCCGCGGTCTACCCACGAAGCTGTGCACCTCGTGTCCTCGCGGTTGAGATGAAAAGACAGTTAGTTGGGATTCTGCAATGTAGAAACACAATAGAGCATCCTGAAATGTACAACTATTTGTCAGCTGTGGCTGACTCAAGCCTTTGTGAATTTTATTTACCCGACAAGGACACTTGAAGCGTAAACGTCCCGGGAATAGACATAACTTGTTTTCTATACCCCGGTTGCCCGGAAAACAGTTCTGTGGCATACGTTTTGAGCGAACAGTTTCAGTTACAGTTTTCACAACCATTACCCATACACTTTCGTGTGCGGTTTTGTTTGCTGCCTTTTGGCTGCCCATTTGGATGAACATGAGGAGAAAGACAGGAAAGGATGAAAGTAGGATCTAAGAGGAAATTTAGGATTTCATTGCACCAATTTTGCAAACAAATCGACAAGATGCATGAGCGCCACTGTTTACGACACTCAGCCATATCACTCAGTGTCTCTAACCATCGGTTACGATCATCCTGAGTTCCCCATTCATGGAGCCTAACGGGACCTATGTAAACCAGAATCCTGATTAGGGTTTTCATACCCTCATGCCAGGTCTTAGCGTAAACACCCTTGACTTTCTTCCACCCACTATCTGTTTCGGCGATCATCGCTAGCCGTGGCAACCTAATTGGTGACATGCGTAACACACACCCCAACCAACGTAATTTATGGCGGTCGACTACCTGCTCCAGTGGGCAACCATTAACAAACAGCCGGATGTCGTGACGGCGCCACAGATGTCTCAAGTTGGCAAATCCCAATCAAGCCTTCTTTATACGAGCTGACACTTCATCCGTGATGCGTCCACCGGGTTTGATATAGCTGGCCAAATAACAAAACTTATCCACCTGCTCTATTACTTCCCCAGTTAGAGTGAGGCTGGGTGCAGGACCAACCCAGTATTGAAGTAACATTTTACACTTTGGAGGTGCAAAACGCATACCTAACATGGCTACACTGGCACTCAAACTATCCAGAAACGCTTGCAACTTACCTGGATCTGTACTTAGCAGCACAATGTC